CTGTCAGTATCTCAGAAGACCCCTCAGAATAGACAGTGGCTCAGCCCCCAAGCCATTTTCCTAAGATACTCCTACTGGTATCCTCAGATGAGAAAGGAGGAGCCATATTTTCCTACCCCAAACCTCTCATTGGCCATTGTAGGCTGCGTGACTTACTGGCAGCCTACTCATTGGCCCTCTGGAGGAAAGGCGGGCTCAGTACCAGCCTCTGAGGAGGTGGAGTTTAAAAGGTAGCTGCTAGCTCCTGTGTGGTGCAGAGTCCTGTCAATCATGAGTTGCTGGGTTGACGTCACACTGGCAGAATGCTGTGACATCAGGGCCACCAGACAGAGGGGGTCTCGTGTACGGAACTTGCGTAGGTAGTGACAGAACCACGATCAGGCTTCTCAACCGTTTAAATTTGTTTCGGAGGAGAGCGATCACTAACAAGGGGCAGCAGGGGCTGCTGTAAGGTATTCCTCCCCATGTTTCCATCTCCTAACAGTACTCTTCACTCCTGCCCTGGAAGCATGGGAGATTCGGGGTGTCGAGGATGTGGGAGGCGAGATTGCACGGGAGATCAGGGGCTGTTGAGAGTGACCAAGGGGAGATCACTACGGGAGATCGCTGTCATCTTGAGTGTCCGTTATGGAGGAGAGGGGTCTCTGAGTTCTTAAAGTCTAGCTGGCATCAATTCACGCTCCAAGCTCTTTTCTTGGTTCAAGGCAAGGAGTAACTTGCTCCCGACACAAGTTGTGTCTCAAAAGGTCTGTGGTGTTGCACATTGACCTGGGGCCTCCCCCCCAACCCCCCCACCGCACACACATACTCATCCCACGATGTCATTTTCTAGTTACGAGATAAGCAAAACAGCCTCATCTGGGGGCGAATTTTAGTCTTTTCTAAAAGTGTATGGTTGATGCTTTATTTTAAAGAAAAGTTAGGTATTTAAAACTTTTTATTCCATTAGTTTTGCCTCCCGGGGAATTCTTTAGTCAGCACTTTTCGAACTGTCTTTCATTAGCTATAAGGTAATGATTGATGTAATGGCTATAGTGTTGATTGCTAAAAACAGTCACCAGTCTTAAAGTGCCAGAGAGCATTAATTTGTGTTTCAGTATCATATTCCCTGTTAAAGATCCCAACTCTGGGAGTGATGTTCCTTCTTTTAAACTGAAGTTGTATAGTCTAAGCCTGGGAAGGGATCTTCTACACCTGCACCCATACTCTAGAATGGATAGGGTAAGATTGGGGGTGGCAGACTCCTACTCACAGAGGTTAGCAGAGACTCACAAGCCCTTGGTAACTACTGAGGAGTGCGTCCTGGATGATCAAACTGATATGTAACACAGGTTTGCCTGCTCTGCTTTCCCAGAAAGGGTGAAAGGATGTATTTATTTATTTTGCTAGTCTTGCGGCTTGAACTCAGGGCCTGGGCACTGTCCCTGAGCTGCTTTTGCTCAAGGTTAGCACTCTACCACTGAAATTACAGTGTCACTTCCGGCTTTTTCTGTTTATGTGGTGCTGGGGAATCGAACTCGGAGCTTCAGGCATGCTAGGCAAGTGCTCTACCACTAAGCCACATTCCCAGCCGGGCCATAGTTTTGGAGGAGTGCTCTCGTAGTTCTTGTCTCGCCCGCCAGAGGTGCCAGAAAGCCCGCCAAAAGCGTCCAGAAGAGCCCAAGCGCTTGGTGGCGCTCACGCGGCTTTCCTGGCACCTTCTGCGGGCGACATTGATGATCTCTTTCCGGCCTTACCAGACCCTAATTTCTGAAGCAGCTGGGACTGTGGAGAACATCTCTGTACTGGGTAAAGAAGTAGGAGTCGTTGGCACCGGAGCTTGTGGAGGCCCGGGACGCCGGTTGAATGAGGTGGGTTATGAGTTCCCTTCCCACAAGGCCGGGAGGACGCGGCACCTTGCAGCCAGAGGCCGGAAAGACCTACAGGTCATAAGGAAAAATTCTCTGACATCCCAGACCTAACAGAAGCAGAGGCAGCTCTCCTTTGATGTCCTGAGTAGTGGGTTAACGACCGCCTTTTTTAGACCTGGGAATTGACTATGTCGGTCTCTGAGGAGACAAATGGAGTAGGGAAGTCCTCCTGCAGGTGATATTTCTGCATCTCTGTGAGACTACCACATTCACAAGCTCTGAGGAGGCTCCAGAAACTGCATTAATGGGGAGAAGGTTGTCATGTTGGGGTAAGACATGTGGGCAGGTGTGCGATATTCCTGTCAGAACTATGTCCTCCACTGAACTTGCCGGCATCCCTTGTACCCTCTTAGAGGGAGGAGCTTCCCTAAGGCTAGTGTGGTTACTTCTGGCATAGCACTGGTGGAGCCTACACTGTTCCACTTCTCTGGTAGAATTAGTGGAAATGTTTCAGGCTTGGGTGGTTGCCACCTATGAGTCAGAAGAACTTTTCATAAATGCCACTTATGGGGCTTGAAATCAGGGCCTTGAGCACTGTTTCTCAGCATTTTTCCCTCCAGGCCAGCATTCTACTACTTGAACTCTAGCTATACTTATGACTTTTGGGTGGTTAATTGGAGGTAAGTCTCACAGGCTTTTATGTTTGGGCTGCCTTTGAACTGTGATCCTCAGATCTTAACCTCCATAGTAGCTAGGCTTACAGGCATGAGCCACTACCACAAAGTTGGAAATACTTTTATGGTTTACCCACAGCAGGTCCACTGTATGAAACTTATATGCTTAGGAAAGAAACAACAGAAGCCCCCTCTCTAGGACCGTGAATATGACAGCAACCAGAAATTACAGTACTTCTCATGCATGGACCCTTTGTTTGCTGAATGCCAAGATACCTAAATCCCCAGGCTCAATACCCTTCTCTAAAAAACCTCTGGAATTTGAACATGCCTACTTGTCACCACTGCTGCGCCTCTTCTCTCATGGTTTCCTGTTCTCTGCTGTAGGTGGCTCGCCCCATTGATCTCAGAGAGAAAACTCTTGGATCTGAGACCTCAGACCCCAGATAAGCAGCAGGTGCAATGGAAATGCCCATGGATTATGCCCCCATGGACTCCTTCTCAAACAGAGGGTTTTCCGTGCTACAGGATAATGAGCAAGGCAGTGAAGTCTCCCGCCAGCTCTTCAGGCAGTTGCAGTACACAGCAGCAGCCGGCCCCCGCGAAACTTTCAGGAAACTGTGGGAGCTCTGCTGTGAATGGCTGAAGCCAAAGATGCATTCTATCGAACAAATCCTGGAGATGCTTGTATTGGAGCAATTCCTAAGTATTCTGCCTCCTGACATTGAGACCCGGGTGAGAGCTCATGGCCCACAGACCAAAGAAAGACTTTTTTCCCTGATAGAACACATACAGAGGAAATATGACAAGTCAGAATTCCAGGTGAGATATGTTTGCGGGTATTTGTTTGTAAACCAAAACAGGTACAGAGGCAGCCGGGTCTAGAACAGATATGTTGTGTCTGGGACATTCCACAGCCCCAAACTCCCACCGTCCTTTTGTTTTCCATTGTCTCTCTTCTGTTGGAATGAGCATGTGCGTCAGTGGCTCTCAACCATATCCAACCCCATCTCCTCTATATTACACACATAATATGCCTTCTACTTTTAGTAGAAGAAATTCACAGTGTAATTCATCTTCTTACATCCAATGAAAGCATTACTATATCCCTTTATGTTTGGCAGGCCAGCTCCAATGTCTATATGTGCCTTATGAATTTGTACTAGTTTTTACCTCACTAAAGATTTGGGTAAAAAAAAAATCTTAGAAGAAGCAAAAGAGATGCCAGTGTAAATGACCCTCTGATTCAAAAATAGTTACTATTTGGCCTTTTGCACAAACAGCTTGTCCACCCTTCCCTGAGTACAGCCCAGAAAGGACATAAAGCTTGTGAAAACAGCGTATTTCAATCTTACATGCATTTCTGCATAAACATGGTCTGCCTCTATCAGTGGCTCCATGAAGTGTTCAGTGCCTGGATGTCTGCTTGGAGTTAAGACGGGCCAGCCAAAATTCAGATCAGGGCTCGGGTGCTATAGTAGAGTTGCCACTTATCATATGATTTCTCAAGATGGCAAACAAGTCTTAGTATAAAGGACCACTAAGTAAAATGTTCTTCCTTTGATTTGGACAGGGGAGCATTCCTGTGAAATCCATGTAATACTAAAATGTGCAAAATGTGTTCTCTCTAACTCCTCTACACAATGTGCTTCTTGGTATGTCCCTTTTTCCTATGTCAAAGGTTGAGGGGGAGTCCTCATTTGGTGGGTCCTGGAACTACACAACTTTGTGAGAGACGCTGCCATCTCTGACCCTTAGAGTCCCATATCCAGAAGAGCCCGTGGGGGCAGGGCTGTGCCCTCTGCTCACAACATAAAGCCTTTGTTTACATAGGCCATGGCTGAACACACAGCTGAAATGCAATGAGGGAACAGGTGTTTTCAGCTGAGGTGGGGGGGGTACTGTTCTAGAGCTGTTGTGGCTGGTCACGGAAGGTGGCAGCCAGGACAGGAGGCTTTCCCAGCATCCTGCCTCCTTAAGGTAGCATGAGTGCATGTGTGGTTCTCTTCCTTTTTCTGTCCTGTTGGTTTTGTTCAGTAAATGAGATTTTATCTTTGAGGGCCTGAACATGTCCTGTCCAGAACAGACCATCAGCCGCTGCTGGCTCCTGAGCACATGAAATGTGGCCAGTGCAGCTTGAAGTCTGCTGTGAGTTTCACGTCCCCTATATGAAGAACGAAAGAAGCAGGTGGAATAGCTCTCTAGTAATTGTATGGATCACATGTGAACATGCTGCTTGTCTGCATATTTTGGAATAACTATGACATGCTATTACAATTGATCTCACCCATATCTTCTTATGCATGATTTCCTGTGACCACTAAAAAATGGATATGTATGGTCTTGGTACTGCTGCTAAACAAAAGCTTATTTCGAGTAACAAAAATTTGTCCTTGCTTCCATTGGGTGTATACTTTGGAGTGATGAGTTCTGGCTTTTTCTCTAGATCGATTTTGATGACATAATCCTTCAAGAGTTTCTGCCCTTGGAAACGGAACTCATGCCGCCAAACTTTCACCCAGAGTCACCTGCACTCCAGGCAAAGGGAACTCACCAGGATTCCCCACTGCCAGAAGCCTGGAAGCCACAGGCAGGGCCACAGGAGCTGAACTACAGTGTTGGCGCTGAATGCCAGCCCTTTGTGAATCCTGGTAAGGCGAGGGTTTCTTTCTGCCATTGTTCCCCTGACAGCTCTGGGAGATTTTCATTAGGTAGAAACTATGAACTTGCCAGTGGAAATTCACCACCTGGAAAAACAATATGAGGGTGTGGGGGAAGGCCAGAAAGAAAGGAGAGAGGTAGCACAAGGTGGAGGAAGGAGGAATAATTCTCTCCGGGCACAGTAGAACAGGAAAATGTCCTTTGCATAGAATGGCATTGGGAACTGGTTATTGTCTCTACTCTGGGTGATTTTGCACAATAACATTATTAATTAAAATCTTGAGTGGGAATCTGGGTGCCAAAGGCTCACATCTAATCCTAGCTACCCAGGAAGCTGAGATCTGAGGATTGTGGTTTGAAGTCAGGAGACTCATCTCCAATTAAGCACCAAAAAAAAAAGCCATAAGTGGAGTTCTGGCTCAAGTAATAGAGTGCTAGTGTTCATCAAAAATAAGGGACAGTGCCCAGGTCCTGAGTTCAAGGACTGGCACGCACACACACACACACACACACACACACACACACACACACAATCTCCAGTGCGAGATGGTTTCATTTGGATGAGGACTCATTTGTGTACCAAATTTTGAGCACATGATGTGTAATGTTGTGTGTCATAGAACCATTTTTTATGGCATAATGGCCTCATTCAAACTGAATACTTGCATAATGTTGTCTCTTCAGATTCTTGCAAAGAGTCCAGTCACTTACAGAGGATAAAGGTAATATCTCATATCTCATTAAATCCCAACCCAGAAGAGTGTTTCTCATAGAGTGGTAAGCAGGCTCTCCATGTCAATGTAATTCAGGGTGCATGGGTAATATGCTGTCCAGGTGGGTGTTGCACACACTGAAGTTTGACATTTCACTGTTCCTGACAGGACAAGGTGAATTCAATAAGGAGGAAGTCCAATGGAGAAAGGCAGCTGGATTGACTAAGTCCTACACACTTGGTCAATGTGTTCTGGCACATTAACCAAGAACATAGAATTGAAATAACAAATGAAGATTAATAAAACAGAATTGAACCAAGTATGCCCAAGTTACATAGTAGCATAGGGCCAGGGTTTAGCAACAACATGCCTTTTCTCATCTTAACAATTATTAAGTCATCTGACATCATGAGCCCCTGGGAAGAACCAGGCTCTGTGCTAGATTTTGCGATTTGGTAGGACTCAAGGCCGAAAAGCATAAGGATTCTCGGGCTAGTGGGCAGTTCAGCTATGTCCATAGGAGAGCTTGTCCTATGTGTGAAGGGGGAGGTGCATTGGAGGGTGTGGGATGCTGGGGAGTGCACAGCTTTATGTGGAGAGAGGGGGATGTGGATAAACACAGGATGGACTGCAGGGCTAGCAGTTTGAGGGGTGCAAGTAAAGATGGGAGAGGACTCTGGGCAGGAGGACCATCATGTGCAAAAGCCCAGGGACCAGAGAAAAGAACTTGTGCTGCTCTGAATGGGGTGTGTGGGGGGGTGGACAGGAACAGAGCTTCTGTGTTGGGAAGACTGAGAAACTAATGATCTGAAAGTTATTTAACAAGTGTGAAATAGAAGATGATGGACAAGAATGTGTGAATGTGGCATCCAGGTCTCTGCCCACATTTCACTGCCGAGCATTGTACTTGTCCAGTTGTAATGAAGTAGGGATGGGCAAGATAGCTCTGCCAAAAGGGATAGGTCCCAGCTTCACCGGATTAACTTTAGATTGGCACACAGAAGTACTGTCTAGTAGATCTTTGGGTTATTTACTTTCCCATAACCCACAACTACATTTTAGCTGCAATCGATTTTAATTTCTTACTGAAGAGTTATTTATTCCAGCAACAGTGTTCCAATTCTCATTGTTACCTCTGAGTCACCTTTTCTTATCAAAGAAGAGTATTTCTCATTCTTCACACACTGATATAATAGGAGTACTGACCTTGTTTTGACCCTCTGTGTAATAATGTTCATCCCACGATACTTAGGAAATATTCTCTGGTAAATTCTGCTCTTAATCAGAATTGACTGTTGATTCTTCCACACATTAGAGCAAGTGGAAAATCCTGCTATGGAGCACAGGGGTGGTGGTGGTGGTCTTCGTATTGCTTTTGTTTTTAGAGATTAACAAAGAGAATTCGTCAGAGGCTTTTAGTGAAGCAATCCAAAGTAAGGAGGAAGTAGATGCAGGGAGGCACGTGCGCTAGAAGGCACCTTCACCTCTGAGATGTCTGTGGTGACTCAAACTCTCCACTCCCCACCCTCCACCCACTTGCTCCTGGCTAGGTCCCGAATTACCGATGTCTGACTGCAGCTTCCCAATGGATAAAGTAGAAGATCAATGGGCAGACGAACTGATGAACTTGCAGACTGGTATGTGAGGCTCAATGTCTGGAAAGAAGGGAAAATGCAGCTTTTATTGGGGACAAGGGTGAGGATTCCACCTTTCCTCTGGGCAGGGGGTATAACTCTTCTTCTTTTTCCGTGAGTCAGAGTGACACCTGCTATTTCTGTTGCTTCTCCTGGGTTGGGATATTGGGAGGGACAAGGGAAAAAAAATCGATGTGAACATGGAAAAGCCTGAACTGTGCACTGCCATTCTTTTTTGATTTGTTTCTCTAGACGAGAATCCACATCAGGAAGCTGATTTATCAGAAGAACGTGAACAGCAGGAAGCACTGTGCAAAGCGCTCCCAAATGAGCTACTGGATGTTTTAGAAATACCTTTGCACACCCCGAGGTCCTGCCTAGAAGAGAACTCGCAGCAGGAGAGGCCTGTGAACCCGGGAGATGCCACGCAGAAGACTCCCATAAGGAAAGCCCACCAGTGTGCCCAGTGTGGGAAGTGTTCTGTGTATGCTCATAAGCAACCTGGTAGTCCCGAAGTGATTCGTGCAGAAGAGCTTGTGCACAAGTGTGCCCTGTGTGAGGAAGGGTTCTTTCATAGCCCAGACCTAGATGAGCAGGAGGTCACTGGTGTGAAGGCGAGGCACTATCAGTGTCCCAAGTGTGAGGAGACATTCACTCAGCACATTCAACTTACCACACACCAGGCGATGCACATTGAGATGAAGCCCTTCCAGTGCCAGCACTGTAGCAAAAGGTTCCTGCATAGGTCAAGTCTATTGGAACACAGGAAAACTCATACAGGGGAAAAGTCCCACGAGTGCCCCACCTGTGGGAAAAAGTTTCTGCGGCGGGCAACACTTAGCCAGCACCAGGTTACACACACTACCGAGCGTCCATTTACCTGTGAATATTGTAAGAAAAGCTACAGGCACAGGTCCAGCCTGCGGTCTCATATAAAAACGCACGCAGGGGAAGTACTGTACAAGTGTAACCTTTGTCTTAAAAGTTTCCTCAACAAAGAGAACATCATCTTGCACCTTGCTGCACACCTTAGGAAGGGACTCCCCACTACAGGGCAGGAAGCAGGTGCTGCAGGACCTGCCAGTCGCTCCTGAGCCCCTGCCATGGTGGGTCTTGGAAGAACAGCTTTCTTTGAGCTCAGTGCACAGAGGCCTTTTACATTGCATTGTTTTGAAAACTCACCTTTCAAGATATAAACATTCTACAGTGTTCCCCCTACGCTTGCCATTGTCCTAGATTTGATTTACTGGCCTTGGGCAGATCTTATTTAACTGTTGCCATGAAACTGTTTTTGCCCCAATCTAAACCCAATGTAGTTGTAATGAAGTATACAAACTGTGGTGTTCCTCTCAGAGGTGGAGTCTTAATCCCAATAACCATTTGTTCTGCAGATACACACTGTTTGCACGCATAAAGGTCTAAACTGTGAAAGAAATGCCTTTTGTCGCAGTCCTTCGGGCTCCTTGTTTGAGCAGTGGGACCTTCAGTCATGGACCATGGTGACAAGCACTTTGCTTGACTCCTGCCACAGCACGGAGCACAATTACTGGCTTCTGTGAGCCTCTGTGTCATTTGAGACTCAAACGTGGTTCCCTTTTGACATGTGGACCATTTCAAGGAAATAAAGCCCATTCATAAGTAAGATGAAGAGCAGCACACACCACCTGCCACATAAATACTGTGATCATTTGTCGTGATGTATTGACATGCGGGCCCTGTCCTTGTGTAACTTATTGTAAATTCTAGCTTACTGCATTGCCTACCTTTGCTGTTGATCAAAATAGCAGTTTGGGTTTTGAGATGTGCCTTATGTGTAACTTTGGTCACCTCTATCAATTGGAAGTAATGTTCTTGTTTGTGATTTTGCTGTGATTCCAATGGCACTTCTCACCATTCCCTCCCCGCCCCCCTGCCCTCTGTTTTCCCCAAAAGGTTGAACCATCCTGACCTTTTTCTATCCATTTTTAATTATACTGCCTTAAAATGAAAAAAAAAATGAAGTTTTGTCTGTTTCTTTTTGTGTTCATTTTTATTTTCGTGCAGTCAAATTGGTTGGGTCATGGAAAGCCATGGTGTGAGGTGCGGGGAGAACTTCTAGAGGGTAATCAGCTGGGTTGACATCCTTAGTTTCCGGTGCGCATGCAGCACCAGTGACAGACAGCAAGTTGATTGCCTGGCTTCTTAAACACAGTTGACGTTTTTGTTCTCTCACTTATCTTTGTGGAAGTTGTAGGGACCAATTTTCTGGATTTGTATTTGTGGCAAAATCGAGAGTTTGAATCAAGACCTACTAGCTGTTTCTTGAGTCATGCCTCCAGCCATTTTTTTTACTTTCATTGTTTTTTAAATAAGGTCCCCCTTTTTTCCCTGAACTTGGCATTCTTACTTATGCTTGGTATTTCACTCTGGTGAAAGTGCCACTGAGATGCTTTTTTCGTTTCTTTCTTTCTTTTTTTTTTGGGGGGGGGTTCCAGTTATGGGCCTGAACTCTGGGCCTGGGCGCTGTCCCTCAGCTCTTCAGCTCAAGGCTAGCACTCTACCACTTGAGCCACAGCGCCACTTCCGGCTTTTTTCTTTTTGCTTATGTGGTGCTGAGGAATCGAACCCAGGGCCTCAGGCATGCAAGGCAAGCGCTCTACCACTGAGCCACCTTCCCAGCCCCTCTTTTCTTCTTTTTTTTTTTTTAAGTGGGTGAATTTCAGGTTTCACAAACTTTTTTTGCCCTTGCCTATCCTAGAATTATGGTACTTCTGATCACAGCCTGTCAAGTACTAAGATTACAAATGAGACTCATCTGGCAAGACTTAAAGGACAATTTGTTTTGACAGGTACATAGCTTTTAAGCTGGCAGTGAAAACAGATGGCTTACTTTCAGGCATAGGAGAACCCTCACCTCCACAAGCTAGGCTGAGAATGCTTACCATCTAGCTATTCCCTCTCTTCCTGAAAGGAAAGAGAACCCACAGCAGTTTCCGAAAGGTTTTGGCAACCCTGATTAACAGGGTTCTTTCAGAGTGTCCGGAGGTTGTTAATGTAGGAGTTTGGGGGGGAGAAAAAGACAGGGGACTCAGGCCACATGTCATTTACCACTAGGTGGCAGAAGAGAGCAGTCGCACGGTCCCTTTCATTTGCTGCCTGCGTGGTAGCTTGGATGGAAACAGCCTAGAGCACCTACAGGAAACTGCTTGAACCTTAGTCCTCACTCCTCTCACAGTCATGGCTCCCTTGTGTGAGACAACTATTCTCAAAAGTAACCACAGCTCGTGCTTAAGCCTGGGCCCAACCCTGATTCTTCTCTAGTCCTCTGAAGCATATGTGTTTCTCTCTAGCTTCTAACACTGACAGTACTTCATTCCCACTACTCCAGTGAGAATAACAACTGAGATCAGAGTCCCAAGGAAACTTGAAAAAGTTCAGAGGGTTGCTTTGAGAGTGACCTTCTGGTTGTAATTGGCATTGCACTGTGTGGATGTGGTTTCTCAGCCATCTTTTCCCAACTAGGTTCCCATCCCAAGATGTAGAGTGTGGTAGTGGGTAGTGGAGGACCATAGGTCTCTCTTTTTGTCTCTGGTGGAAGGGGAGACTTGTCTGCTGTATGACCTGAGACGCTGGTCCACCTGCGTGCTGAGAAGATGTTCTATGCCCCAAGGAACTAAGGAAGAGTAAAGAACTGTGATGGCGGGGCTGGGAAGGTGGCTCAGTGGTAGAGTGCTTGCCTTGCATGCATGAGGCCCTGGGTTCGATTCCTCAGCACCACATAAGCAGAAAAAATCTGGAAGTGGCACTGTGGCTCAAGTGATAGAGCGCTCGCCTTGAGCTGAAGAGCTGAGGGACAGCGTCCAGGCCCAGAGTTCGGGCCCCACGACTGGCAAAAAATAAAAAATTAAAAAAAAAAAGAACTGTGATGGCTATATTTCCACCATGAAGCTGAGCGATGCTTTACTTACTTACCATTCAGACTTCTTCCAAGTGTTTGCCAGTAAGTGTCTCTGATGCCTTAATCCTAAGAGCATTCTGCATAAGCCAAAAGGGTTCTTCATCACTGTGGCATCTGGCAAGAGACAGAAGGCAAAGAAAATTACCCTCTTATAAAGCTACGATATACACAATAGGCCATGTATGATTGCATTGTTTGGCAAAAAAATCTTAAATGCTAAAATACACCAGAACATGAAAACTTATGGACAACTCTAGGCATTCACAAGTGAGACCAAAAAGGATACTCTTCGGGGAGGAAGACAAAGGCTTAATGCCTATGTGCCTCTGATCATATAAAATAATATTTATCAAAATGTGCTCCAGGAAATGGGAATAAGAAATTTTTTTCTTTGATGTTGTTTTTGTTTCCTTTTTGTCTTGTTTATCTGTCTTTGGGAGGACAAGGAGGGATACAGAAATGGAGGGACAAAGGAAAAAAAATACAGCAGTGCTACTCACTAGACACTAAGTTGAAAATGAACTATGCTACTTGTGGGTGAGGATGGAAGAGAAAAACTGGGAAAAAGCAAAGGAAGGGGTGTCGTTGTCCAAAAAGAAATGTACTCTTTATGTGACTTCTGCAACTGTTACTCCTCTGTTCATCAACTTTATAATAACAATAAAAAATTTTAAATGTTAAGTAATGGTAGCAAGCTGAATATAAGTGATAAAGGCTTAGGTTGTGCCCTAACAGTGTCCCAAATGCTTGTTTTCTCTATAAGCTTGAGAATCAGAAGAATCATGGGCAGCTACTACAGCAACATTATTTTAAGTGTGGGTCCTGAGGCTCCAAATCAGGACTTGGGCACAGTCTTTGAGCTTGTTGCTGTTGTTGTTGTTGTTGTTGTTGTTTGTCCCAGTCCTGGAGCTTGAACTCAGCCTGGGTGCTATTCCTGAGATTCTTTTCATCAAGTCTAGTGCTCTACCACTTGAGCCATAGCTCCACTTCTGTTTATTTGGATGCTTAATTAGAGATGAGAGTCTCATAGACTTTCCTGACTGGGTTGGCTTCAACTGGTGACCCTTAGATCTCAATCTCCTGAGTAGCTAGGATTACAGGTGTGAGCCACCAGCGCCCAGCTCCCTGGGTCTTTGTGGCTCAAGGCCAGAGCTCTACCACTTGAGCCACAGCTGTACTGCTGTCTTTTTAGTGGTTAATTGGAGGTAAGAATCTCACAGATTTCAGCTTCAACCCGTGATCCTCAGATCTCAGCCTCCTGAGTAGCTCAGATTATAGGCGTGGGCCACCAAACATCCAGCTGCAACAACATTTTAAAGGGTCCTGGTGAGGCCTTTGCTTTTACAAATGTAAAGTGCACATATTATGTGATAACTGCTCTTTGGAAGACTACTAGCTATACACATGCATTGCACAGGGCATTATTCTTTCCAGTGAGATGTATAGAATGTGGATCAGTGCCTGATGGAGACACAGCCAGTGGTAATGTGGAGAGTTGTTTTCCTGAGCCTAGTGACAGTCACACTTTATGCTGTGATGGAGACACATAGTGGTTGAGAAACATATGTATGCTTGGAATGAGACACATGATCCAGAGTCATTTTACAACCCCAAACCCATATTTTTGAATCCTAGCAACTCATGGTTGAGATTTCCATTAGGCTAGCTAGTTCAAGCAAAGTTTGGTAAAATGCATCAAGTGCAGAACAATGTAACATAAAGAACAAGATCTTTAAGAGAGAAACAATTCCATGTATGTCTCTTCTATAGGCAATTAGATCAGTGAGAAAAAGCAACCAAAATATGAAGGGCTCAAGAAAAGAACATCTGGATGGCAAGCTTAAGGATATGAGTTTAACCCCAGTATTACCTTAAAAAAAAAGATACCAGTGATCAATGACTATAGGCATTGACTAGTCAATGTGTCCTTAATCTTAGTACCATCTGCAACCCTGTAGAGGTACATTGGATCCTTTCCTGCAAGGATCCTGACTTGCATCTGTAGACTGATGCTGCTATACTAGGAAGCGGGTGGTAACATGTTTTCTACTCACACACTGAGGCTTTCTGGGCAAGCTTCTCAAAATGGAGACAGAAACCTATCATCAAAGAGCCACAATAGAATCAGATGGCCAGTGATAAACATCCTTTTTTCTTTTTAAATATTTTTATTAAAAAATATTTTTTATCAAGCCTGGTGCCTGTGGCTCATGTCTATAATCCTGGCTTCTCAGGAAGCTGAGGTCTGAGAATTGTTGTTTGAAGCCAGCCTGGGTAGGAAAGTCCATGAGACTCTTGTCTCTCATTAAACATCAAAGAGTCAGAAGGGGATCTGTGGCTCAAGTGGTAGAGTGCTATCCTTGAGCTCAAAAACTCAGGGACAGTGCCCAGGCCCTGAATTCAAGCCCCAGGACCAATACCCCAAAAATAGTTTTATTATTTTTAAGTAGTTTTATGAAGAGGTTTCAATTCAACATATCAGTTTATTAGTACAATGTATCTTGATCAATGTCACCCCTTTCCATCATTGTCCCCTAAGCTGTATGACAGGGGTAATTATGACCTACTTTCCAGGTGAGAAAATGAGGCTTCAGTTAAGTCAGCACCACAAGCCTAAGTACAACTTTATAAACACCAGCAATAGGATTTGAACACACATTTACCTCCTGTTAGTAATTACATTTGTAACCCAGGCCAGGTAAAGCACAAAGTGTTTGGCCTGCTAACAAATTGATTTCCAAAGCAAAGGAGTAGTCTCACAATATTTGGATTTCTACAAATTAATGACAAATGGTGCACCAATTAAATGTGCTCTCTAATTACCCTTTAAAATACAAAACATTGCTGCTAATGTGCTCAATCTTGTTCCAGTTTGGACAATTTTTCATAAATGCTTCTTGCTGCATTCATAAAAATGCAGTTTCTTGCCTGAGGACACACCCCTCCCTGCCACTGGCAATATTGTAGTCAGAGGCTAAAGGTCAGTGTGTCTGTAGGCTATAGGATCTCA